TGTAGGCTACAACATGTATTTCTATATCTTAGCAACACAATTATTGAATATTTGCTTTTTTTATAATTCAGTACATAATAAACACAATAACTTATTCTGTCTTTTTTTTTTCTTCATTAAGACACACGAGGCACATTAATTCTGCTACAGCAAATTTAGCAAACACACACGCGAAGAACAAATTTGTTTTGTTTTTTAAAACTGTGTTATAGGTGTATAAAAACAATTCATAAGCACCATACCCACAACAAAAATAACTGAGCAAATATATACACAGAAAGAGCATATTGATGAATGCTCATCCTAAACAAAACAATATAATTAATATTCTTGAAAAATATAAAATGAAAGTAGACATTTTATATATTTGATCTTTAAAAATGTAGAAAGAAATACAGATACTTTTTTTGCTCTAAATTATCAGAATGAAAATAGAATGAAGATAGAATTAAATTGTTTCTAATACAATCTGCCATAAAATCTATATAAATGTTATATATGTTGATGCTAAGACACATTGACTATATTAATCTATAAATAAACCTGTTTACAAGATTAAAATGATATACACTTAAGGAGAAGAATTTTGGCCACAAATAATCACGTTTTAGCATGACTCGTTTCTTGAAGAAGCATACAAAGTACAAAGGCTACATGAAACTCACACTGTCATCTACAATATTAAAATGTCCATGTCGTAGTTCACATTCTATTAATGAACAGGAGTTCATATTCACAATTTAACAGTGAAAGGAATAACAAACGGTGGATTTGATGAGACATAGAGTTTAAAACTTGACAAGTACTTAACACCATTTCTCTACAATATTCTCATTACATAGAGTGGACTTCTTTTTAGCACATTAACAGCCCATACTACATTATTATTTACAAATGGAAACATAATAAAGTTCTTGTGATCATACATGTAGATTGGGTTTATCAGATGAAAGAGAAATTGAAATCAAAGAAAGAGAAATTTGAAGTAAACTTATTGGCCCGTATTCTACTCTTGAAGTTGTTTCGGGTGCCGAGACTAAGTCATGTTTAACAAAGAAAAACTAGACCTCGGTCCAACTTTTTTGTTTGTTAAACTGACTGTAACCTGGCATCAGGTTTGCATTGTACAGTAGACTATGGGCCATTTGGGCTAGGTCTATATAAAACAAAGGAAATTACATGTAAAAAACTACTCTATACCTTGCATCTGAAAGTTATAAAGTTATACAGATAGGAATGCTTGACCCTGTCTTTTCAGAAAGATTATGATATTTCAAGCTTGAATCAGGAACAAAGTTGAAGAGATGATCATCTTGACACAAGATAGCTCTATGGAATGATATAGAATAAGTACTCAATTTGAAATATTAGTGATACATACTTGACATAAAAATCTGTCCAATCACAACTTATTCTGATGCAGGTATGCATGATGCCTTTAAGAACCATGCAACACTAAACCTGAAAGGAGATGATCAAATTTCTAGGGTATCATTTCTAGGATATCACTGAAGGCTCTATTGTTGAGATTGAGACGTACAACATCTTCAGAATGTAATATGTACAAAGTGAATTCCTTAACAGTGAAAACAAATCAGATATCTATGTATTCATTTGCAATGACATGGCAACATTTACTGGTCTCAATGAAGGTATGTTTCAAAAAGGAGGCATCTGTTTTTTTTATCAAGTATTGGATGATGTGCCCAGAAAACCTACACCATCCATTCTTGAGCTGCAAAAGTAAAAATCCTGGTAGTTCTTTCTGAAGGAATGACAGCAATTACTTCATGGGCTGCCCTCACTATGACCTCAACTGCCAGTATTAAAAGTACATACATGCATTGTAGCTAAAACAGCACTATTTTAGGCAGCTGATAATATGTATTGATGGGATATTGTTTATTAAATGATCACTACACATTCTTAGGAGAGTGATCACATTGCATAATCATAATAATAATAATAAGACAGTGTAATATTAAAACAAATATGCATACAAAGAGGAGGGGTGTAAGAATGATAATACGGTAATCTCAAATTACAGTATGTACCATATGAACTTTAGTAAATACAAACTTAAAAAGAAAAGATTAATTTATCAGGGTATCAGTCATCTATACTGCATGACCTGATAAAACATGGCAAAAATCACATTGCAGCATTCTTTCAAATATATTCATATTTCCTCACCCGGATTTTAAAAGAGATGTTTGACCACATTTTTAAAATTCTTTTTTTCTACATTTCATAGTACCCTTGCAGCATTCCCTTGCCGTATAAGACCTCTCCTAAAATTGATGTTTTTATTACAATGATCGATTGGAGCAAGACATAAATCAATAACATACCACCGTTCCCTACCACCGTTCCCTATCTTCTGATTTCCAATCCCAACGATATACTCTACTTCAAATCTTCAATCCAAACAATGTCATTCCAAATTCCCCCACCTACATTTCCCCCAATCGCTGCAATCCAAACTTACAAACGTTTCATCCCCTTTCCTCATTCCAGAGTTATATGGCAGTATATCCTAAACTTGCCTCGTCTATGTTTGCTGCGTCAACAGACGAACGCAAAGCAAACCTCAGCTGGCAAGCCTGGCATACCACTTCTGTTTGAACGTTTCAGCAGCCGTGTGTCAACATATTGATCAATGTGTGAACGCAGATATGCATCATTGACTTAGGTGTTCCCATTAGACCAACGATTGGACACGTTTTGCCATTCCCAACGTACAAACGACTGTAAACTTCTAATTGGACTTTGCTCAAGAAATATGTGTGGCTTTTATGAGCAGTTATGTGGTTTGGACCAGAGAGTCTGATGTTAAATTTGTCAAACAATATTGATTAAAAAAAATGGAATTTCACATATGTATCATTCACCATGGCTACTTCTATCAAGAACATTAAAATTACAATAATAATTTCACTTCCATCACTCAAAAACAAGTACAACTGCAATTGATTTATTATAATTTGAATTCCATATTACTGTAAAAGAAGAAAAAGTCAAGTTTACGTTATTAAAATACCAATAAATAAAAAATTCTTTGTAAAATCTGGCACAATAATATTAGTTGCCCATACAAACCTGTACATTATTTCTCTAGATCACAGTTTTTATGTATCTTTGTTAATTTTCCATGTAATACTAACCACCAACAACCTTATAATGACCCTAAAATGACCAACTGATCAAGATAGCTTTTTAAACTCTCCTGAATGGTCTTTGTACACAGATTTGACTCTAATACTATTTTATGTAAATTGTCTACACAATCTGTACAACGCATCTTGCAACTGAATAAAAAGAATTGATGGTTTCCATAGCAAACAGGCTAATATATGTACACTTAGGAAGCATAAAAATATACATTGATGCCTTGAATATCCATCCACATGGAAGAAAGTAAAAATAGAAAATGAAGTTTATTTTCATTTTCTAGCAGAATGAAGCAGTCATATCTGGAATGGTTGATGAAAGTCGATGAAAGTCTCATGGATTGCCTTAGTCATTTAATTTACACGCAAATGGTGAATTGATTTACCTTATCCATTCAAAGTGTTATGACTATCTTGTTCCCCTTCGTTTTCTTTGTACATTGGATTATTTCTGTTTTTCTGTCTTTCCAAAACTAATATATATCCTGTGAGAAACTTTTGCAACATTCTTCTTTTCCATCACTTAGCACTTAAGAGCCTGGGCCGGTATTCAATTCAATACTTAGCATAAGTAAGAAATTTACTAAGTAAATGGCTAAGTTAAGTAATTGACTTATCTCGTATTCAAATCGCATTTTAGACTTATACTTACGTAAGACAAAATTTAAGTAAAATACTTACTGATAAGCATTGTGACGTCACACGGTCAATGAAAAGTAATGCGCAATTGATGCATTGCAATAAATGCGCGCTGATATAATTGTGCGCGGGATACAATACTGCGTAAGAAAACCATATGCCTGCCAATCAAGGCCACCAAATAATTGGCTTAAGTCTGGTATGCAGTTGGCTTAGATTGAAAGTAAGATACTTACACAAAAGTGTGAATTGAATACCAAAATTGGCTAAGTATTTTATGTAAGCCAAATACTAAGTAAAAAGCTTAAATTTTGTACTTAAGTATTGAATTGAATACGGGCCCTGATTAGGAGAGAGAGACTGCAATGTGCATCCACTAACCCAATATTTAACTCATTTTTTGTATCGATGATGCAGGAGGCGCGGGCTTGATGCGGGCTTGACGCAGGCTTGATGCGTGGCTATATTTACAGTGCAGGGGATAAGGTGGTTCCAGTGATTAGTGCATGCTGTGTTTACAGGATAACACGTTATAAATAAACACTCTCCATACTCAGAGACAGTAATAACCCCCATATTTCATGATTAATCTACGCTGCATGGCCTACTTTGGCAGAAAGAGGAAACACTTTCATCAATGGATAATGTGGATATGCTAAAAATTTGTGTTCATTTTTTATTTGAGTTCTTTTCACAAGGAAATCTACGCAAAATGTACAATGCTTCCTTTTTGCTGCATTTATACCCTCTGTTGAGAGCCACCTCGTTATAACTTTACCTAAAATGATTGAGTTAACAACCTTCTAGCTCTTAACAGATGGTACAATACATTCCTGTCATTAAGTACATATTGTCTGTTTGGAGCCAAAAGGGTGTTAACTCATATACTGTAAGAGTTAATAATCTTTTGGCTCTGAACAAACGATATGCAAACTTATCAAGGAGTAAGGAGTTGTATATACATGTATCCACCTTTGTATATTTTAAAATCACTTGTTAAACATCAGCATCTGAAAGAGTCCACTTCTCAGTTCCATTTGATTAACCTTCTAATCATCTCCAATCTGACACATGCATGACATTCGCAGCTGGTGTTATGATCTATGCAGGAGCATCGCAAGTTTGTCATTAAACCATCATTAGTGATGGGAAATTATGACATGAATAAATCAGTATCGGTTAAGGATGAGCTGTGGGCCAGATGCGTTTAATGGGAGTTATTACCATCATCACCCCTAGTAATGGAACTATTACATGTTTCATAAATAAAATGATACAAGACATGTTTGATACTCTACTGTGCACTATAATACCTAAAAAGTATATTTCTTTTCACAATGTTAATATTTCCACTATCAGCATGAGGTTTGCAATCGTTGTTTTATCATTCTTAAGTAAAGACCATGTGAAGAAAATGAAACTTGGAAACACACTATTTACATCTGAAAAACGTATATCACATTCATAATCATGTAATAATGTAACATCATATAACACTGTCATTGATGAATTGTTTGGGTTACGGAGTTTGAGAATCCATTACATTTTTAATACATATTTTACAATAAAAGTGAAATCAAGCTGATTGAATATACCAGCAATAGTATATTGAACCAAACTTTGTGAGTGTTTACTATTTTACAGATGGAATGATTCCGATAAATGTTTACAACTTTACATGTAGCAATTTATATGGGGATGTGCAGTAGCAAGATTTTAATTTTTTAAAAACATTTTAAAACTTTGTACATGATGCAGCTATAGTGTTTTTCTGTGGAACCAAATCTTCTGCACACCTACACAACTGTATCATCAGTTACGTCATGATAAAATAAGACTGGGGATAAAAGAAATATTCTCATCTCGAGTGATCGAGTGCTCAGTACATGTACATTTACCATATGAAAAGAAGATCAATATCTTCCTTAGATAAGATGCAATCTGGGAAAATGAACCCCCTTTTATTTATAGACTTCTCACAAACACGACTCCCTCATGACAATTCCCTTAACCCTTATAGTGCCAGCAAGTTTCCAACCATTTGCCACAAGTACGACTTCACAAAGCACGTTTATAATCATAGTTATCTTTCACTGCTCATCTTCATGAAAACAGGATTCTACAAGGTACTTCACCATTCATGAATCCCAGGTCTCCACACCAACCTTTTTTTTTCACAGGGGGCCCTGACTAATCTTTAGGGTTCTGTATGATGTGTAAAATTTAAAATTTAGAGATTCAGAATAATAATTTTAACTCAAGACCCAAACCATTTTGGTGACTATCTGCATCGGACCCTTGTTCATGTAGAGCCCTTTGTGACTCCATGTTATTTCAAGAGGGAAAGCAAGCTTTTCTTTCATCTAGACAAAACTAATTAAGACAGGGAAAAAGTACACAGGGCTCAGGGCGAATTAGCCCCCGAAATGCCAAAAAAAGCCCCTGAAAGTCATAAAAGAGCCCCCCAAATTGCATAGAGTTCAATGCAAAACAAAATAAAGAATGTTATTTTCATGCAAGCAAGCTTGAAAAGTAGCCCCTGAATATTAAAAGTATTTTCCCCCCTGATATTAAGATATATACTTGTGAGGTTGGAATGATCTAAGGCACTATAAGGGTTAAGGTGTGTGTCTTTAAAGATGCAGGAATACAGGTGCTGTTGGTAGCTGATGTGATGTGGATGGGCTTCCTGATGACTCATGATGGCCTGAGGAGCTAGGCACGACTCCATTTGCCATGTCTCCTTTCCTTCATTTGCATTTTCTATCAATTCCCTGGGAGTGATGCTAAAGAGGATTCCTCGGAGCGATGCGGAGATAGAGAGAGGGAGAGAGAGAGAGAGAGAGAGAGAGAGAGAGAGGGGGGAGAGGGGGGGGGGGGACTTTCAAGACATCAACTTGCTGTTTCTCAAGGAGGAGAGCTGCTGCTGATGATGAGGCTCCAAAGCAATCCTCTTTCTCATCACTCTTTGACCCATTTTAGAGATTCGTCTATTTCTGGTGTCACGTCTGCCAGTGTTCATATGAGAAGCAGGAGTGCTTGAAGAATGTTCACTGAGAATCGATGATTGAAAGTAGGACCACATCTCAGTGAAGTACTCTCATACAATTGTTTGGAATAAGGTGATAGAAGATAGAGAGATGGAGTGGGAGAGAGAGAGAGATAGAATGAAAGGGAGGGAGAGAGAGAGAGAGAGACTGGAGAGGGAGAGAGATAGAAGAGAAGATGAGAGAGAAAGAATCAGAGAGACTGATGTAGATGGATGAGAGAGCATTCCTAACGTCATCCCAAACAAGAAGTGTCTTTAAGTGATTATTTGATGTTGATGATCATCATTACCCACTACTGGATCCATTGATGATGTTTCATGGTATTCTCTTTCTCCACATACTCACAACCTGAGATGAGGATGCATGATGGGGATGCGATCCCAAGGATTCTAAGATGATAGCTAGCGAGATGCTGATTGCTTGATCTGTTTTGCCCATTGTAGCTGGTACAGCGAAGGGAAGGAAATGTGATTAGCTTTGGCTTGAGCTCATTGAGGTGTAGGCGGGAGGACGGTGGGCAAACGTGTGTCGATCGGGGCTGTGTCTGTGACGGAACATCTAGGGAAATAAAAAAAGATATACAGGTAACAGACTTATAATGCTGCTTGAGGGGGTATAAAGTGAAAGAAAAACACCTTGCAATATGCTTTTTAGAAAATAAGATATGCCTACGCCTGTTAAAATGTGTTTTTCAACAGATGTAGAATGTATTCATAGAAACATGATTGGATTATGTGTGCAATACACTCCAAAACTTAAATGTACATAGATTCATGTTTTTTTTCTCTCAATATTTTCTACTTTTACAAAATTTAGGTGTTTACATGTATACTCAGATATTTTATGAGGGATCTTATAAATGATCTGAGAAATGGTTAAAAAACTCCATGAGGTAAAGATCACACTATCAAATAAAATGTGAAATCTTCAGTCATTGAAAATGTGTCCCACTTGAATGGTATCAAATCCATCAATTCTGAATACCTGGTCAAAAGAAAATCACTTTCATTTATCACCCCATTACCTATACACGTGTAATGACCAAAATTTCATTCATCAAATTATGACAAAGAAAAGGAATATAGACTGATGAAGCCTCTATATGCACTGTGTGGACTCATTTACATGCATGCAATATGTCTAAACTCTAAAGCCACATCGTGTTAAAAGCAGTCAGGGGGGAAATTGGCTATGAAAATTTTCCATTCATCAGATCAGGATCAAGAAGACAACTGGAAAAAAGGGTGATGGAGAGAAACACCCTAGAGCATTGTCTTTTGAAATGGACTGGAAGAATTAACATCAACAGTGCATCCTGAACAGACGGGCAATGAACATGACAGAGGACAATGACATTTAATACTTTCGTCTGTTGGAGCTAGAAGGCATTCCCTCCGTGTAAATTATATGAGTTAATGCTCTTTTGCCCTTCTCGCTCTAAAAACGGTCAACTTTATAACTAACTCGCACTAATGGGACTGACACCAGACCAACAACTGACTGAACAAGAAATTACATTGCCTTCAATGCCTCCTTTTTGAAAATGGAGCTGAAGTAGTATGAACGTATTGGCTAAATTTCACATATTTTGTGGTCTAAAATTACCTTCATAGCAATTGTAGGTCCTAAAAGGGCACTAGAAATGTCATAAGTAAGAATAAATGCAATAACCATGCACTTTGAAAGCATCTGCAGTCTGAAAAAAAAGAACTTAACTATCCCTTATGATATATAAAACACAATTAATTTTTTTCATTCATTCAATAGTGCGAATATTTTCATTCGTTGGAAGATTAACCTTCTATTCAACTCATGAAAATATTTGCACTATTGAACTCATAAAGATTCATTATTTGTGTACTATTCTATGCATCAAATGAGTTTCTATACAAGTCCAAATTTCCATCTCCATATCAAACTCTATTATACTGACAGTTTCCTGATATTTTATGATGCAAGAAAGAAGACAGCATAAACAAAGCATGAATCATTAATAGCATGCTAATAAACAGTTGCTAGGCAACGTAAAGAGGATGGTTATCTGCAGAAAATGGAGCCTGCTTCCTCATCCAGACGAGGCTAATCCTATAGGGTTTCATTATTCATGCAAAGTCATATTTCTCCATCTTTCCGCAGCGTCTCACCGCTGCATATCTTGGGAAAGAAGATACACCAATAATGACAATTGTCACAGCCGGCGCAATATAACCATGACATTTCAATTCAATCAAATGGGTCCTCTCTTTCCACCGCTTGCCCCAAAATGGGATTGGAGATAACTGTGATCAGTTTGCCCGTCCTAGAAACACTCATGGTCATAGATATTGAGTGTAATTTTGTCTACAAAAAGGGAAGTGCTATAAAAGATACATATCTATGGCTACACTGAGAGAAAAAGAAAATACAAAGAAAAGAAGAGAGAACAAAATTCTACATTAACATTAACAACGATCAGATGGAATAGAGAAAGCATGAAAGAAAGGGGGAGGAGAGAAAGAAAGGGGGAGGAGAGAAAAAAGAGTGGAGAGTGAGAGGAAAAGAGGAATGAATATATTCAAATATTTGAATACTTGAATGTATATTTGCCTTCATTTTTGATAAATTATTCTTAAATCATTATTTGGCACATGTACTGTATATAGAACTTAGCAATCAATTTTAATCGAGAGAGAGAGAGAGAGAGAGAGAGAGAGAGAGAGAGAGACCGGGGGGGGGGGGGGGGGGTGTCACATGAAAAATGGAGGAGAGAATGAGGAAACGGGGAAAGAGAAAGAGAAGGTAGAGTGAAGGAAATGTAGAGGAAAAATGAAATACCAGAACATACAAAATGCCATTGTTTTGCTGTCAATGTTTGATGGGAAATCAACTGATTTTCAAATTGTAAATAAACAAGAACCTCCTGCTTTATAACCTCACATGGTCAAGCAAAAGCTCCCTGGATGATTCAGGTTTGTGGTTTGTTTAAATTACAATCCTGCATCAATGAGAAATATGTGTAAATACACAAACAAAATATTATGAAAGTACAAAAACACCACAAATAGAAATTATACAAACACAATTCCACTCTACGCATCTTATTTTATTTTGTCATGCAAAACATGTTTCTGTCCCAGTTCAGCACAGAAATTGACCAGCAAAGCTTAACCTGACTAAAATGTAAAGTTCTAATAATAGAAGGAAAAATCAAAATTCTAGATGAGTCTGTTGCATCGTTCCCGAGTGCCACAGAAAATTGGTTCCAATAAGCTGTAATTAGTCTGGCATTATGCAGCCAATTAAACTACAAATTAAACTGAATGTAGTTACTCAAGTGGACAGGATTTGATTTGCAGGTATACACGTTATGTATGAAGAATCTAATGTGTATACTAGAAATCATACAAGCAAAATATGGAGTTTAGGTGAATGGTTTGTACATGAAGAGATTCACTTGAATAGTGTGTGCATCAATATACTTCGCTCAGTATAAACTGGAGGGAAAAAGGAGTGTCATAAAATGCCTAAATAGTACCTAAAACCAGGGAGAGTGTTAGCGCTTTCCTCATATAACCAAAGAACAATAAAAAAAGAATATTGTTATCATTAGCTTTCTAACTTGTTCATGTCCTAGATCTACAGCTTGTAAAAGGGAGGAAAAATTCCTGCCAAACTTGATATATTTTGCAAAGCAAATTGATAAATGATATGAGACAGATGCAGGCATACTGTATATGAGCAGGAGACCAATTTCATACAGTGAAGTACCCTTGACAACTTGACATTTCCCTTGCCTTTGAAAGTGCAAAATTGGTGTTTTATTAAAGATTTTCCAGCTTGATATTTGATACTGACTGTATAAGAAAGCACTTACACGTAATAAAATAGTCTAGACTGGCTTCCTTTAATAGCCGAAAATGTATTCAATGTAAACATTAATATTTAATGTTATAGCATTAAAAGACATCATTCTTTTGGCTGAAAATGATTGCTTCTTGATTTTGTTGTGGATGTTCATATAACACTTGTCTTAATATCCTCTCCTTTTATTTCTCAAAACAGCAAAAATACATCCTCCCCTTCCCACCCCCCCCCTCCTCCCCACCCCGTTCCCTCCCCCTCCCTCCTCCCTCCTCCCTTCTCTCCTTCCTCCACCCCACCCCATCCAACTCCTTCCACTCTTTTCTCACCTCCAAGCATCTACAGCATAGAAAGCTATTTCTGAACCTATGATGCTACTCAAACTGCCATCAAATCCCACTTTCTCCTCTCCAAAATTAAACTTGTACTCTGAGTGAATATTGGCCGCTCAATCAAACCAACAAACCGGTGCCGTCTCAAATTCAATTTCAGACGATGACTCTATATATCTAGCTGGAGGTCTCCGTTATACTTCCAAGGCACCCCCCCCCCCCTCTCTCTCTCTCTCTCTCTGTCTCTCTCTCTCTCTCTCTCTCTATTTGTCTGATTTATCTTTCTCACACAATCTCTCTCTATTTTCTGCCCCCACCATCTCTCTGTTGCTCTCTGTCTCTGTCTGTCTCTCTTTCTCTCCTTTCTACTTCCCCTCTCTTTCTCTATCTCTCTCTCTCTCTCTTTCTTTCTTTCTTCCTCTCCGCATCTCTCTTCTCTTCAAATCTCTCTCATCTTCCCCTCTCCTTACCTATCTCCCCCTCTTTTCTCTACCCCTCTTCTCTCTCCCCTCTTTTCACTCCCTCTCTCTCTCCTCATCTCCCTCTCTTTCTTTCTTTCTTTATCTCTCTCTCTTTTTCTCTCTCTCTCTCTCCCTCTTTCTTTCTCTTTCTTTATCTTTCTCTCTCACTCTCTCTCTATTTCTTCCTCCTCCTTCTCCTCCTCTCTGACTGAATTCGTCTCTCTCTTTACTTTCATCTTCCCTACCCCATCCATTTGATTTTTTATTCATCTACACCTCCTGAGGCTTTGGGCAAATTTGAGATTTAGTGGGTTTGTTGGGAGAGCAATCCGAAGCCATCAGCAAGACGGGATGAAGTTTCCAATTTTCATTCGTTGAGGCAGAATCATGGAATAAAGTACCATGCTCGTATTTTGTGCACTGGAATAGATTCTGGTGCATGGCATAGGACATTTAAAGGGAAGTCCAAAATGCATGAATGTAATGTATTCTACATAACCTGGTTGACAGTTGCAGTTATTACTGTATTTCCTGTATTTACTATATTACTCAATATTTCATAACAGACCTCTTCTTTAATACAATAAAGTAACATTTAACTCATATTTTCTCAGATAAGGCAGTCAGCTGATATACCCTGCTTATTGAAATGAACCCATCACTGTCTCCTTAATTCATATTCAAACCGCAAAGCCTTCACATCCACTTTAAATGAAAATCTCCATCAAATTGAATTTCTAATCAGATTTAGAAGTCCAACCTTTAAGATTTTATGAAGAAGTATCCCTTGCATAGATTGGGTTACTATAGTCTACAGCAAACCAATGCTGCTTAGAAAAGCATTTCACATGCTCTTGCATGGCAAACATCCATAGATTTTGAGGTTGAACTTCAGCCCAAATGTTACTGACCAAAATCCATAAATTGTATTACAAAAGTAATTTCATCTGCTCCAATTTGTAGTTTTCAGTTGTGAACATAGCAAACTAATGAATATTGATAAATCAAAATCTTATTTGAGCCAAAATTTCCTTCAAAACTGGGTCACAGAAATGAATATTTGACATAATTTTTCACAATTTTTCTTTCCTCAGAACAACTGGATTGCATATCAGGGTGGATCTTAAAGTGATTGGAATTAAATGAAAATGAATATAAGCATTTATTAATATATTAAAAGAGAGAGAATTAATCATGAATATCAATAGTATACACATTTGATTAGTAAATTATATACAAATAAAGTGTAAAGTACTTGTGTTTTTTAGATGGTAAAACTATTAATCATAATTGCTCAAAATTACAGAGTAATATACAATAGAATATCTATACAAAAATTCTTCTCCAAAATATGAAATGAGGTTGTTTTCTGTTTTTCAAACTCCTAGCACATGAAACCTCAAGATTTATCACCTATCCTTTTCTTCTACGTTGCCATAGTAATATGCCATTGAATCGCACAAATGCCCCATCCCTGATGAATATGTCTCTACTTCCAACATTTCCCATTTCCTCCACAACAACACTAACATTGCTCCACATCCGTTCATCGATGCCATTTTGGGAGGGGAGGGGGGGGGTTCCTTTTTGTCTTAATTTGCATTGCCTCTATCCCTGAAAGCCTGGTTTCTATGAACCATTATTACGGTTAAGGGTAATGCATTGGCATATCTCACGCTGGACAACTCAGATTCATACAAGGCTGCATAATGCAACAATGCTGTGGGCACTCTTCCTCGGTCTTCCATCCATCCATCCATCCATCTGCCCCCAAAGCCCCCGCCTCCCTCCCCCCCCCCCCCCCCCAAAAAATCAAGCCAGACGAAGGAGAACGCAAACCAAAACAGAGCCCTGGAGATATTCCTCCCCTCGGTACACACAGGTGACATTTCCAGTTGATAATGGAAGAAGAAAAGAATAGTCTGAATATTGAGGATGAAGCCGCGATCGTGATGGATTAGTGTAAGCGAGTGTGACTGCCCTCCTCTCTCCAATTCCCACCGCCCTAGATAGTACTCCGACATCATCCCTGGCTTCCCAAGTTCCGACACACCTGTAATGGATTCTAACCCCAGCTGATTGTCTAAACCGCGAGTGGATTAAGCTCTCACAATAGAGATCGAGTTGGATTCGATATCAATCATTTATTTCATGGGTGTCATAATGTATTTTGCTCGCATAATACATGCATCGCACTTCCAGTGTTGGAAGCTTGTGATATTCTTCATCATTGTATCGCAACATGTTGGAGCTGTCATTATGAGATGATTAACCTATTTTTCCAATAATTTTGCACCGTTCTTGAGAGAAGTGCATAAATTATGAGCAGGTACTAATGGGAAAATGCTTTCAAGCACTCAAGCTTTATGATAAATCTTAAGGTGAAGAGTGAATGCATTCTAGGAACAAACTGATTCCTTAACTTCCATCAAGGATTAAGATTCTAAGAATAATAAGGCTCATTCATACCCCCTAGCACTTTTTGTATGAATTGCTTTCCTAAGTTTCTTTTAGATAGTATACAGAGAGAGATGATGAAATAGTTACAAACTTGACGTATTCTTTCATTGTTATGTTTGCTTACTCTCCCTTTCATAGGTTATTAAAAAATACTTTAAATTACCCCCTTCTTTTCCCACAAATAGGACTGCCTGTTAATGTCATTGCATGCAGGTGCACCATGGTTCAGTGCGAGTGATATGATTCTGTGCGATTTGAGAAAAAAATAAGACAATAATAATTCAGCGATCGATATGACCCCTTTTAAAACTAGTTTCGTGTAAAGCACAGAAATATAAAAAGTTCAAACAATATTAAATAGTTATCAAACTGCAGTCATGTAATTCAATTAACTGCACTGGAATAGACAAAAAAGTTTGATCATTCCAATAACATGCTAATTTCAAAATGATTGTTCACTCAACATACCCTATTGTCTGCACAATGATTTCAAGGTTACATATGAATGAAGTGCTAATCTACATCAATATTGCATTATTATTGGAAACTAACATTAGTGAGTTGGCTGTGGATGGATTCAAAGACTAGAGTATCCTGCAATCAATAATTGTAAACAGTATTTTTATGTCTCTAAAAATATGATGATTCTTCTCTTTTTAAATTTTCTGAATATTTCAATATTTCCTCAGCAATTACTTTATTATTCTGAATTTTCTTCTGGATTCCATGTGTTTAGCTTTACCCAAAACTAAATCGTTCTCTGCTTTCTAAATGACTGTTTACTATTAATTTTCCTTTTTCAAATGGAGATTTAGAAAATAAAAACTTGATGTTTAAACTATCAAAGAGGCAACTCCAAATTAAGGCCCAAATATCATAATTGAACTGAAATTATAGATTTTATGTTAGAAGTTTAATACCTACAGTATTTGTACTTTGCAAATGGGGGAAGTTTCTTTGTAACAAAACTAAATGTATACTTCAGCTATAGAGCAAATCCCACCATAATACTATGTCAAATTTCAATGTTTGGACAATACAATGTAAATTTGCCAAAGATGTACTGAAAAGGGGTAAAATTGACATGCAGCACATGCAAACTCAAATGTAAAATACATGACCTCTGTTTTAAAGGAGCACATAGTTTATGTACAGGTATATATGTAAGTTTGAAAGAAAAATGAAGAATGAAACTTCTTTATTCCAACAGACGTGATCTACTTATTTAATGGAATTCACGTTCTTGCCACATAAACTAGCACGAATTGACATATGACCTTTAGAGTCGGATCACGTCTCATAAATAAGAAAAGTGTCTGCAGAGCCTGAAATGTATCAACTTGAAAAAAAGAAATCTATTCTAGACACATGCATGAATCATGACACTTTATGGAAGTTCTTTGTTAAATCTTGAAACCAAACTTGACTTTTTTGTTGTTGTGATTTTTAATGTGATTTTCAAAACTTCAACCCAAACTGTTCAACAATTCAGTCCCTTTTCTACAATTCAGAGGGATCGGGTATCTTTACCTCTAAACAAAATCCTGGATTTAGCTCATGCTGCAATCATAATTATAAACCTTTAGGTCAAGTCAGGAACACCATGACTTTTACAAGCCAATCGCCCGTCTGATTATTTTTAATGAATGGATATCCAAATTTCCTAAACTGTTTTCCTTACGGTTTTTATAACACTACAGTCTATTTTTCTAGGGCTTCAATATTACACCATATCACAGACACTGATTACACATAGGGCCATGCATCTCAGATTTAACATTGTTAAACGATGCCTTTAACAAACTCTTATTGGAGCTTTCAAGGGCTAAATGTGTCTCCACTGTCATCTCTTTTTAATGGAGGACACATAGATTAAAAAACACCTACACATAGATATCAAACACATTCACAACATCCATAATTATTCAAATGATATACCGAGTACTTACATATTCTCATGGGGGTGAATCGTGACATAATGATGCAAATATTCTCCTCCTCCTTCCTCCTCCTAGAGCGTGGTGGGTTGGTATCTCATGGTCCCGCACTTCTCCGGTGAGATCTGTTCCTGATCACATGACCATGCAAAGACGAGGAGAGCATCCTCCGCCTGTCCTCCGGCGGTCCTGGGTGGCAACTGCATGGGGGTGGAGATGAAAGTGTTAGTCACATCGTCATGAATTTCACATTAATCTTGAGAGCTTTTTTTTCAAACACTACTGCTCCTGCCGAGGCATGCAAACATGTTGCCAAACCTGGAGAAAAACAGCAGCCTCATACGAGATGTATTTAACATTTAAAGCCTGTCTGCACTACTTGTATCTACTTGCATTCTCTATATAGCAGACAATGCCTATTCCGTGCCTGTTGGTCCCTCATGATCCCCTTTTTCTTACGTTAATTGAGAGCTGATTTGATGAGATAACCACCTGTCAGTGACCTTGCAGGGTGGTCTAATCCCTCCTGTAAACTAGTACAGATGGGCTTTAAAGCTTATCTGCCATAGTTTACAGGACGGATTAGACCGCCCTACAAGGTCACTGGACAGGTGGTTTTCTCATCAACTCAGCTCTCAGTTAACATAAGAAAAAGAGGATCATGGGGGACCAATGGTCACCGATTAGGCATTGTTTGTTGTATAGAGGGCGCAAGTAGCTACAAGTAGTGCAGTGGGCCTTTAAATGGTGTAAAATGTGGTAAGTAGCTCTAAATTTAGAGGTTTTTAGACAGTTGTCCTAATGAATGACACAGACTCTTGTAATTTTCTTGTTCATGACAAAATACAGCAGTTAAAAAGAACTGCATTATCATCCACTCTGGAGAGAAAATATTTTGAATGATGTCCTTTTTGATAAAGTTTAGTTCCTATAACTGCCAACTCAAGTAGTGCCTATTTATGCTACATATCATATCATTGGCCTGTGAGAGTGACATTGTTTAATGCAATAATATCTTCACAACAAAGAAATCACCATGGCAATAATACCAAAGTATTTAATGATTCTATGTGCAACTCTCATTATCCCAACTTTTATCACGGCTCTCACACTCCACTGAGGAGGGCAATCGCATAAAAATCTGGAGGCGCCAGTACTATCGATGTGTAATCACAATGAAGCACGGGAGGAGACAACCGTGTCTAGGGATATCTCAATGTTAGTCACACAGTGTCATGTTTCCTATTAATCATACGATCGGCCGTCCACATGAAAGAGAAGATTTTGCTCGTCTGGATTCAAAGATGATGTTACATCTCTGCATCTCCATGGAGAAGAACATATGACAGCATTCCTTTACATTACAATTCAGAATAAGGTGCATTTTCTAAAAGGGACACACCATCATTAAAGGGACTTTGTAGCATTGTTCAGATGATAGAAAATGGTGCTAAGGTAGTGACTTCAATGCTAGATGTACAATTAAGGATAATCTGAAAGTTTGAGTGAAAACGGACCATTATTAATGATAAAAATTGGGAAAAACTGATCTGATTGATTTCTTAATTTTTCCAACTGTATTATTACAATCTAATTACATTTGAGGTGAATGTAAATCGTCACAAAGCAATAAATTAGCTCTATAGACATTCCAGACATTTAAGTGTTGACAGATTTTTAAAAGCCTGTCTTATGTCTTATTTTCAAGGAAAAACGGTTGGGAAAATTCAAAAATGGTCGGGAGAATTTACTGTTAACCACTATAGAGGGTGTTGCACAGTGACGCCTTCAAGGAAAACCATAAATATCTTTGTGGTTTGAGAATTTTCTCAGGATTTTTTGCCTGTTAGAGGGTACATCTGTAAGTACAGTAGTAGAATGAATATAATAAGTAACATTTCATACACAAATTTACAGTCTTTTCATCAACCTTTAACAATGTTACTAAGTCACTTTAAGGGCATCCACACAATAATTAAGGGCCCCCACACAATAATTTAGGCCAACAAATGGGGGTAAGAAAAAAAAAGGGAAAGCTAGTGCATTAAAAATCACTTTAAAATAATGTTTAAAGTACCCTGTCTCTGCATTTATTAAAATAAGTATTAAAATGAACTGTAATTGAAATGGACAATGCATGAAGTACAAGACCTTTTGGTATTTGTACATGTTGTACATAAAGCCTACATGTACGTATGAAAGGGGAGATATATACTTTATGATTGGTTTTATTTCTGAAAATTAATTGAGCTAAGAAAGATGTGCATAATTGTACTAGTTCCATAGACATTTTCCATTGCTTCACCACCACTTTTCTTTTCAACTCATAAAACAGGATACCCTTGGCCCTGGCAGTACCAGTATACCTGTACTTTCTTTATATTTAGAAATGGGATTACCAGGGCTTGAGAACATCCAGTTTTTATTATGTTTACCTGCAGGCAGTGTACCTGAACATGACGTCACTTTGAAAAATAACATGAAAAGTATGTGTATTGTTTGAAAGTACAGGTTTGCATGGAGAGTCCTTAAAAAAGACCATTTTTATTCTTTTGTGTTGGTTTGGAAGTCCTGAAGAGGACTGAAAATCTTTTTTTTTTTAAACTACATGTTAGTTAGTCCAGAATCTGGCCGCCCCCTTCTATCTTTTGTCACAATCATGATCTCTCCTATACCTACTACAAGAATCCATGGATCCATATGCCCAGCCTAAGAGGGGGGTTTAATTAAAAGGTTGTCATTGAATGACGGACATGTGATCAATAACGATCAATCAAAACTTTTTATAAGACGAGACCATGACATTATATAAATCATGATTCTATTTCTAATTTACTTGTAGGACTTCAGAAATAAAAGCACAACGTAGGCCTGTAATATATCAGGGCTCCTGGTGTAGTTTTAGAATTCTTTTGGGGGGACTTAAAGAATTTTATTTGGGGGAGGGCTTTAGCCCCTAAGCCCCCTTCTAGAACCACTACTGCAAGGCTATCATCTGTGAGCAGTCTATTTTAGATATTCAAATGTGAGGTGCTTGCTTGTCTATCCTAAATACTTCATGCAAGAGTGACATGGAATCAAACAGTTAAAAAGAAATACAAATCTGAAATTATTACACACTTTGTCTCCCCTGACTGAAAGCATTCTGATAGACTTTTAGAATGCCGATTTGGACATTTCTATCCTTCATGTTCATAGCCAACATTATCTTCCTCCAGGTTTTGTTTCCTAACTATAATGGCACATACATGTATGTATAGCTCTATTGCCATGGGTATGCTTCTCTTTTCTGTTTCCTTTCACTCCATCAAGTACATGTAGTACCACATTCATTGTATTTAACAAAACACCTCAGAGAGTGTTTCTTTTGAAAATGCCCCAGTGTGAAAATGAGAGGAAGAGGTCCAAAGTTGATGGAAAGTTGGAAAATATTTTCTTTAATTTTTCACTTTTTTACAACGAGAATTCAGCTTTTGGCAAGGATCGTTGAGATGGATCTCAATACTAGCAAGGACATGGAACATTTACCCTGAAATTAATCAGAACAGAGTCTGTATTTGTAGACTATTATTAAAATGGATTCAGTGATAACCAACAGTCCTCTCTCTCTCACTTTAATTATCCATCCTGGCGGGTTTTTAATAACTTTCTAACAGCTATCTCAAGGCTGTAATATGCTGGCTTCTCATCAAAACAGATGATGCTAATGAAAGTAGCCAATGGTCGTACGTGTGGGTAATAAGCAAGGTGAAACAAATGAGAGAACAAGAAAGGAAAATAGAAACCCAACATCCAGGAGGGGGATATCATGGTGTTTACCTGAAACCACCCCTTGCCACCTTCATCTTGCCGGGCGCACATATCATGATGAGACATTGGCGAAGTCATTAATTCCAAGGGTTTCAATCATGACAAACTCTCCAATTTTTAATTATTAAAAAAAACTAAACACAACTGGAATCACTAAGGTGTGATGTACATGTACATGTACATCGGCGAAGTAATTTATTCCAAGAGTTTTAATCATGCCTTATGGCAAACTTTCCTCTTTAAAAAAATTATATTTCCCCAAAAAAGGAATCACTTATGTGTGATGAATAGTATGTACATAAAACATTGAGTATGATGCAATGTGCAGTGACTCGTGCAAGGACAAGGCTATAGTCATCTGCAAAACAATAATTCCTGTGGTAAAAAATAAATAAACAAGAATGGCATCCACAAGAATAAATTTAATTTGCAAAGCAAGTATCACATGTATCCATGCTACTCTATTATGTAGCTTCTACTTTGTACTATTTTTGCAAAACCTAATATTTGTGTAAGGCCTATTGATCATTTCTTTTTCTGTTCAAACAACATTTCAGTTGGCCTGATACAACAAGCTTTAAAAAAGATTCACATTTAGCCTTTGAAATTTCAATTACTTCAATAACATCCCCTTACCATGTATTTTTATGATAAGAATTCCAAAGTTTCAATATACTGGTAACTTTTGTGCTCAAGCCAAGGCCTAGCACCTCTCTCTCTCTCTCTCTCTCTCTGTGACATTTCAAAACAGAAGTGGTTGTATTAAACATACAACACAACTGGGTACCAGATGTGCTCAGTCAGTCGAACATATTGTCTGCACACAGTAATTAACTAATGCACTTTTCTTGCATCAGATAGCTGCAAAGTACTTGTTAACTGTTGATGATGGCCACTTGCAATTCAGACTCTGAACCTTCGATGCATGAGAGATGTAGGGAGATGCCCAATGGCTACGGTCCATGAAGTCTACTTTTATTTATTTATTCAATTATTTATTGACATATATATATATATATATGTATATCAGGATAAAACAATAAATTCATATACAAAAGGGAAAAAAGTAATTAAAGAATAGGAAATTATTATTTAATTTGCACATAAATTTGAAGAAAAAAATAGTCAGAATGTTAACATTTTAATATCCTGTAATCCTTGAATGGCTAAAGTCAGAAGTTCAGTTCAGTATTTCACCTCTAAGGCAATTATTATACATCCTGTACAGAGCAATTTTGAATTTTGAATCACATTCCCAGCTGCTCCTGTTGATCAAAACAAAGTCATCAACTGACCAAATATTTATAACCACAACAAAATTATGCCCAATTTCTTTTCTTTTAGTTTTATTAGGGGAGCAGCAATCTCATTATAATCATGTACATTGATT